TTCAAAATACAATTTGAGCTCATCTTAAGGTGAAATGCAAAAAATTCGCTGTTAATAACTCATCCTCGAACTGCGCCCTTAAAAAATTAAATTGCCCCCCGTGTGAGCCGTGTGTATCTTTAATTTTATAATTATTTCTCTAATTATTTCTCTTGCGCGTTATTCGACGTTTTTGTTTGCTCGGCATATATTTGCATACATTGCTCGTTTCAAAATATTTGTAGAACAGAAACAGTCAACGTGTTAAAGAAAACCGCGGATGAGAGGAGAAATTATCCGAGTCGGATCGAGAAACAACCGGAAGAGGAAGACCAATGGTTAAACGAAAAGAATCGATGATATCGCGATCGCAAACGTAGGGTCAAGTCGAATCGAGGCAGGAGCTCTTCGAATAAAGATGGCTTTAATCGCGTCTCGAAGATGCGGCGAACGATCGAGAAGAAGCGCGCGCGGTTCTGGCGTAACGAGCGGGCATTGTTTCGTCGTGGTTCGATAAGATGGCCGAGCTTCGCTTCGTTAACATTTCTCGAAAGAGAGCTTTTTAGCCAAACGACGTTGATAACTTCTGACAAAGCGCGTGACGACCGGCTCCTCTTTCATACCGAAGGACTCTCGATCCTTCGGCTTGAACGAACCGCTTTATAATTGCATCTCTACAGAACTGGACCAAAGTTTATTATTCGCTATACAGTCTCGATGAAAGATTTGTCTGTATTTCGAACTGTTGGAACGTCACAAAAAAGAGTTTGTATAACACAATGTAAGTTAGCAGTTATTATTTACAGTCATTTTAAAGCACTCAAAGTCTCTACTAGTTGGTTTTTCTCCAAAAATGTTTTTGTATTATGCAGCAAGTGGAAAGCAAGGATACTTTTCTTCTCGAAGATCCAAAAAACGCCTCTGGAAACATTAGAGAACCTTTCTCAAATCTGCAAGATCTATCAAAACTCACTGTATGATTTTTTTTCCTCTCCATTTTATTGGAACATCAGGGTTGAATATATAGGATTTCTTGAATTTCAAACTCTTCAATCTTCGAGATCTGGTTATGAAAAGAACTTCCCAATGATTTTGAAAGCGTTTTAATTGAGGCGTCCATCCAAAGCAGCAGTATGACGTAAAATACTTTGGGAAAACTCGAAAAAAGATTGGTAAAATGGAGTAGTTTCACACATCTTGTTTTACTTGCTCGTAGTAATTTCCAAGAATCATTCTCGACGAACGCATGCTCGAGAAAGAGAGAGTTTCAATTGCCTCGTAAGTCCGAATAAAACTCGGAAGTTTCGCGTTGATATTGAAATCAATCGATGGAGCGTCTCCGGAACGTTGCGAGCGTTTCGAC